GACAGAAAGGCAGATGTGGCAGTGGAAGGTGTCAAAGCAGTTTGGAGAGAAAAACAAAGTAAAGAACAAAAAAAAACGATTAATCGGTTATTAAATTAGTCATMGATTATTTTAATAATCGATTAGTCGTCGATTAATCGATTAATCGTTGCAGCCCTAGTTACAATGATGTAATGTTTTATAGCACATGCCTTCAGTTGGAGCATGTATTCAGCCTCCATAAGGCAAAATTGTAGGCTGGTTATGTCACTGCATCGCACCAAAGGTTGTCCCAATTCATGCAGCCAACAAATGCAGCCCACAAAACCCTGAAAACATAACCTGCATCTGACTATCCTTCACGCGACAGTATCCCAGGATTCATTGAGCCGTCATCAGTTTTTACAGTAAAAAGAAAATGGTGGAGTTTGTAAAGTCATGAACTGAAGAATTTGTTATCAGCTTAATTGATGAAACTGTGCTGCAATACTGACAGTAGAGCTAAACCCAAATTATTAATGTCTTGTGTATTTACATGTAACATTTTTAAAACTACATTCAGTTTTGTGACGTTACACCTCCTTTGACAAGACATGAGTATATGTTCCAATTTATTTTAAGTTTTACGCATTTATGGTGGTGTGATACAAAACGTAACACCATGTTAGCAGGATAATGTGTAGTCATGCGCACCCGCTTCGGATGTTATCATCCATTAAATGGACGTCATTAGCTGTTATCAGTCCCATAGAATGGCTTCAGACTGTCAGCTGGTTAATATGAGGCATAAAACCACTAAGGTTAATTTTAGAGAAAATGACATGGGCTACGGTAAAGTAGACCAGACTCCAGCGGTAGCACACTGTTGCAGTCCAACATATATGACACTGATAACCCACTAGGGGGCACTGTCGGGACAGTCTGAAGCCATTCTATGGGACTGATAACTGCTAATAACGTCCATTTAATGGACTGATAACATCCGAACCTGCTGTCACGTAAGCATCCAAAGACTAGACCGTCCCATTTTACAGCCATTAGATTCAGCATACCTGGACTTTGAGTAGTGTGGTCACTCTGGGCTGCGGTCTACAGAGTTAGAGTTATCTTTGAGAATTTTTTTTTCAGGTGGCCATTTTGAATTGAACCAACCACAACATTTTGTCAGTGGTAGATGTACATTCAATGATTGTTTAGTGAAAACTACATTGAAATCTGGTCCAGTGGTTCACAAGACATTTTGCCAACAGACAAAATTATTATTGTCTACCTTTCCCTTTTTTGCAATGGGAAATAAATAAAAAGAGTGGCCTTGGTTCAAATCTAAAAGTTGCTGTTCATCAGTCTTGCTTCAGTTCCTGGCCTCTCACCCGTTTGAGTGTCCCTGAACTGAATCTCAGCTCCTCAACACTTCCTGTTAGTGTAAAAACTGAAAGGTTTATTTTCATTTTTCCACATTTTGCCTCTTCTGCTGTGTGACAACATTTTAAAATCTTCATGAAACAACAAAGCCTTCACTGACTGCTCCCTCCACAAAACACACCTACCAAATAATACTCAGCAGTATTCAGTCAGGCACGCAGCGCACCTTCAGTTAATGAGGCCTGACTGTAAACAGGTTAATTATTAGACGAGACCAAGTCACAAATGATCTGCCTCATGAAAAACAAAATCACTGCTTATATAACAGCTCCAATAAAACACAACTTTGGATTWAAATCATCTCAACACAGACTTGTAAATAACACCACGGTGTCTGCATAAACTGTACATTCTGTGGTGAAATGTTATCACCAGTATACATACACCAGAGGCAAACTCAAAGTAAGATCTTGAGTATCTATTTAAGGTGAGTTGAGCAACAGTTGAAGTCATCTTGTATTCTGGTGACCTTACCTTGACGTAGAGGGAGATTGTGGGCTGGTTGGGGTCAGCTGGAGCCTTGCTGCTCTCATCCAGAGTCACGTTTTCCAGAGTTTTGAGGCTGTAGTCCACGGTGTCCTCTGGTTTTGTGTAGGGACGGGTGTACGACATGAGCAGACCATCCTCGGCGTTATCCTCGTCGTGGATCTTGGGTGGGATTGGTAGGTAATCGCTGGGGTCTCCGTGGGAGGAGGAGGAAGAGGAGGAAGAGGAGGAATGCGAGGAAGCCGATGAGCGCCTGGACCCGCCGCGCCCCTCGCTGTTCGCCTTTTCCTCCAGCACCTCTGGCTCAGGCGGCAGCTCCATTGTCATCACCGGTTCCTCCTGCTTGGCTTCCTCGTCGTCACTGGACGATGAGGACGAGGAGGATGAGGAGCTGCTGCTTTTGGCCCCCTCCCGGATTTCCATGTACTCTGGAGAGTTGCGTTCCCTCTCCGAGGCATGCACCAGCACCTCGCTGTACAGCGGTTCCCTGGCCTCGGCCGAGTTCTCGTACACAGCCTGTTGATCCCTGGCCCGACCCGAGTTCTCATACACGGCCTCTTCGTTAGGGCTGTCCGCGTTTTCTCCGTCGATGTTCTCGTAGACGTTTTCCATGTTCGCTGGCTTTCTTTTTTGTGAGGCGCAGACCTCAGGGTTTTTACGCAGAGGAAAAGCTCTGGAGTGGTTGCACAGTCCACCTGCCTTTTTCTGACTGAACGCCTGGGCAAACTCCAGCAATCATAAAAGACCTTTGATCCTGCAAGTTAACAAGTGAACAATCTCTGACACTCAGGCAGAGCAGGTAGTATTGTATTAAAGTGTTTAGTAGCACCTTAGAGGGTGAATAAAAACATAAAAATGTTCTTTATCTGCCATCCACTGCCTTGCAACTAAAACGATCAGGAGAACCATTTCAGGCAGTAAATAAGTTGAGTGGTGAAAGAGCTTTTCTCAATAAGTTATATGAGCAGCAAATAAAAAGAACAAACTAACGTAGACTCATTTGTATCAGAAGGCGATTCCCTAATTTGCACATTGCTGTATTTTGTCAAATAACCTCTAACATAACAAATCCTGAAATTTTGTTTCAGGTTTTTGGTGCCACTCCAAGATTTTTAAATCCCCCCCGGTGGTGCCACTGACAAACAGACACTGGTCTCTTAAATAAAACAGATCTACTGATTTTCAGCTCAGCTGGGTTGAACAACGACATTCAGAACTACAAGATTTTGTTTTCCATCATAAGTCATCRTGTTTTCCAGACATTTTTACTGAGCGAAGAAGACTCCACTGGTCAGTTGTTTTATCTGTAAGGTGTTAAAAATCAAGTAAGAGGAAGAACAAAATTCTGTCACCTTCCTAAAATAATCATCGTTTTTCAGGAAAATTGACATTTCTGCATAACTTATCTCTCCACCTATATTCTCAAATGATCAAATCATTTGAGTCTACCTACCCCTTAAGATAATGGCCTACGTATTGAGTGGGACTGAAACTGAGCTAAGTCTTTTATGTTTCCTGAAAAACTTGAAAAATTACCTAGGCGATTATTTAAAAAGTCACTAACGCAACTGTCAACACTTTCAAACAGATCGCCTATTGGACTGCAGAGACCCCTACTATCAGACTTAAATGGCTACATGAACGACAGTGAAGGGGTCCAAGAACGTAATCAAGTCCCCTTCATGTTTCACAGCAGGTATGGTGTTCTGTAAAAATAAAAAATGATGCCAACAATGAATGAAGCCAAAAAAAAAAAAAAAACACGAAGGAGAAACCCTAAAGGGCATTCCTCTTATCTCTGCTCTTTTAAGAATATGTTGTTTATAATTGACATCATGATTATTTTTGGTTTCATAATCACAACAGCACCATGAAGATGAGCTACAACAGGAACTCATAAATTCAAAAACAACTATTTAGATCCAGTGATTGTTGTCTGTAACAAATTCCCTGACGTATCTGACACACACGCACACAACATTCCCTTTCTTTCTGAACTGTTCGTCTCAGAGAAATGACGAAAGATTTAAAATGTCTCACTACCTTAACGCCACGTCTCCACTACTCAGGCACAGGTGGTAGGTAGCCGTTGGTTGGTCAATACTCCAGCAAAAGTGGTGAATGTGACTTACGATCTGGCTCTTTATCATCTAGACCAGTGTTTCCCAAAGTTGGGGTCGGGACCCAAAGTGGGGTCCCGAAACATCAAGATGGGGTCCTGAAAAGATTTTCTGAATTAATTACATTTTTGCCTTAGTTGTTACAAAGGAGTGAGGTTAGTGTATTTAAAATGGATAAATGTYGTATAAAAATATTGTTACTTTGCCCATGTTTAGTTGACCTGATACAAATGTTTATCATCCAAAAATAGCTGGGGGCACAGGTCTCTGCTACTGTTATTTTGTGGGTCAAAAGCAGAAAAGTTTGGGAACCAGTGCACTTTGGTTCCCAAAGTTGGGCTTGGGACCCAATTATGGGTCATGAAGCACCTTGGATAATCTCCAGAAATCAACTTAAAGGGTAATAAAATAATTGCTGATGTAATATTTTCCCTATAATTATTATAAAAACACAAAATAAGTAAAAATATGAATTTATATTTGTGTATAAGCTGTTTAGGTTGTCAAAAAGCCTGTGTTTTTAGGGTTATTAACAAAGTTTATGTACTCAGACCAGTAATATTTGGGGTCACAAGTTTTTGCCGTGGATATTTTGTGTGTCAGAAGACAAAAAGTTTGGGAACCACTGATCTAGACCCACAACAGCAAATTGTATTTAGTTTAATACATAGCTATTCTAATCCTTAAAATGAAAAGATTCTATATTGGTGGGTCAGAGTTGAATAAAAATCAAAAAGTATGATAACTACAACTTTAAAGAAAAAAAATCATAATCGACACATTTGTTTTTATTAGTTTCTTTATTTTCAGAAGACTCTATAACTGCATCAACATGGCAAATAAATTTTCATCCATATTAAATATCCACATTTCAATCCATAAACTTCTTTTCTAATTATTACAAATGAATAATTTTGAAATATAGTCTRAATATATTTTAGTTTTCTTTCAACAAGTCAGGAAAAAAATCATTTTTATGTGTTTACTAAAACATTAAGATAGCCAGAAAGTTATTAATTTATATAAAGGCTTCTCAATTTATGAATTAAAATTTATTAAAAAGTATTTATATATATCTATATCACAGTGATGTCTGCAGTTTTTTGGGGGGGCACAGGTTTCAGTCAACGCAGTAAAAAGCAAAAATTTGTAGTATTTTTTTAATTGCTGCAAAAATATAAGCATTATTGTTTTGAATTCTACGTCTTCTACCTTTTAGTATCATTTATGCTAATTAAAACCTTTTAACAAAAAGCGTTTACCCTTTTTTTTTAAAATAGCAACTAGAAATTCAAAGTGCAAATCAAAAGCTACGCGTCCTAAAAAGCATCTTCAGCTTCTTCTGTTTCCATTTCTTTTAGTGCAAATTACAGGAGTGGAACCTGCAAGTCATGCTGAAAATAATCATCTTTACAAAATGACAGTAAAGTCTAAATTTCCTAAGACAATWATACTCACAAATAGCAATTGCACTTCACATTTCACCAACAACATGGCAATGGTCATGACGATCCAAACACGACATATGAAAAAATAAATAAATCCTCTCCGGATTCGACAGACAGACAGTCAAACTAGAAAAGACACAGTTACTTTAAGACGTGTTCTCTGCTAAGTTTAAAGGCAAATGATTGTGATTAGCTCATGAAAGGAACATAGTTTGACACAGTGAGAGTCTTAAATGGATCGGCTGCTTCCAAGTAACATTTAACCCAGAACCCTGAAACGACACTAAACACTTTTAAATATTTTTAGCTTAATCACAGCGAGGGTTAGGTTGATTTTTCATATAAAGAACATCTTATTTCAGTGCTCAGGCCACAAGCAGAACAAGTGGTGGAAAGAATCTAACTAGACTTTGGTCCTTTCGTTTTTGACATGCAAATCTGTTTTTGCATAGATTTGAAAATGCCAAATAAATCAGATCGATGGCTGTCGAAGGTTCGAAGGTGTCAGTATGTCTCAAATGAACGTGCCTGCCAGATGTTTAGAAATGAATAAAACAAATAGCAAATTGTCAGTCCCACCAGCTGTCGGGGTAAAGCTAGCCAGTTCATCCTGAAAACAAGAAGAAATACCAAGAAGATTGCCTGAACGTGTACGCAGTTATATTTTATGTTTCTCTTTTGATAGCATTGAGTTCTGAAGGCTAATTCATGTTATGAGTGGAAAATATGTTGAGATAAAAGAAACAAAACTACTAACTGCACTGGTTGTTTAGAGCAGCAGAGCAGTAAAAATGTTTAGTTTTAGGTTGAAAGTATATTAATCTACATACATAAGCAAACAGATGTCTGCATCTCTGCAACTGACTTTATTTGTCTTGTTAATCGAGATGAACCCTGGGAAATGGGTCTGAAACCTTTACTTAGATTATCTAAATAAGAATCTATTGACATCATTTGAAAGAAGAAACGGCTACATAAGGATRTCARGATTTCCCAGCTGGTACTGAAAAGCTTTGTTAGCGTGCAGGAAAAGTAGCCAAAATGTTGGACTTTTTTGACAAAACCATTGTTGGTACTGCTCAAGAAAGTCCTTCAAAACTTTCTTTGGGATTAGATCTCAGACATTTCCTTCCAGGCACCCATAGATTATTATTATTG